AGGGGATAGATTGGAGTGTCCTCCATAGTTGGTGGAAGGGAGTAGATTGGAGTGTCCTCCATAGTTGGTGGAAGGGGATAGATTGGAGTGTCCTCCATAGTTGGTGGAAGGGAGTAGATTGGAGTGTCCTCCATAGTTGGTGGAAGGGAATAGATTGGAGTGTCCTCCATAGTTGGTGGAAGGGAGTAGATTGGAGTGTCCTCCATAGTTGGTGGAAGGGAATAGATTGGAGTGTCCTCCATTGTTGGTAGAAGGGAGTAGATTGGAGTGTCCTCCATAGTTGGTGGAAGGGAAAAGATTGGAGTGTCCTCCATTGTTGGTAGAAGGGAGTAGATTGGAGTGACCTCCATTGTTGGTAGAAGGGAGTAGATTGGAGTGACCTCCATTGTTGGTGGAAGGGAGTAGATTGGAGTGACCTCCATTGTTGGTGGAAGGGAGTAGATTGGAGTGACCTCCATAGTTGGTAGGGAGAGGGGAGTAGATTGGAGTGACCTCCATTGTTGGTGGAAGGGAGTAGATTGGAGTGACCTCCATAGTTGGTAGAGAGAGGGGAGTAGATTGGAGTGACCTCCATTGTTGGTGGAAGGGAGTAGATTGGAGTGACCTCCATTGTTGGTGGAAGGGAGTAGATTGGAGTGACCTCCATAGAGAGAAGGGAGTGAAGCACAGAAGACATAGCAGACCATGGTAAAATACAGATTATGATGATGGAGGATGGGGGAGGAATGGCGAGGAGCTGTCAGATGGGTGGCAGTGGTTTACAATCTGGATGGGTTAGACAGGTTGGCTGAATGAAGAAAGTGCAGGAAGAGGTTTTGAACTTTATGTCTCAGAGTGCCAGGAGTGAGGGGGAGCTGAGCGAGTCGGAGGATGAGCGCTCACTTCCGCTGCTGCGCTGGTACCGGCTTCCACAGGCTCCTCCCTCTGGGGAGGTGAAGACAAATGAAGAGGTGTAAGCTCCAGGGCCGATGGCACAGTCTGTGTCCGGTAGGGGGGGCAAACAGACAGGGAAGGATACCTCCAGTTGGGGGGGATACGATGGCAGGAGTCCTCCATGGGGGAAGGAGACAGCTGGGTCACTGGGGGGCAGGTCAGGTTCCTCGTAGGGAAGTTTACATGTTGATCGATGGGAGAGAAGAGCAAACTCCAACTGTTCTTTCTGTCGTTGCAGCTCATCAATCTCGGCCTCCAGTGTGGACTTTTCCTCTTCTAAAATGTCCGTCTCCTGATGGGAGGAACACACGTTGTTATTTACTATAGTGAGGGCCATCACCCTGGCGTGTTACACTCTACATAGTACACGTATAAACCTCACATGCACATGACTGCCATTGGAACGGGCACCGGACCCTCTAAGTAGTGCACATGATAGAAGACATCCTTCTCACGCGATGGTCAGAGATGTGGATGAAAGGCAAAGACGGGTTCCCTAAACCAGACAGCAAACCCCCTCCCCCCCGCCCCCCTACTATATATGGGGCTCTATGGAAAGTAATCTGAGGGGGCTGCACAGGAGGATGGTGGGACCTGCAGCAAACCAGATCCCTCTGCTCATTCTAATGCCAAGAGACATAGGGCTCCAGAACCTGGACATGGACACCTGGGGCCCCTGGAGGAGGACTATGAATACCACATAAACCTCTAGATCAGGGGTTCTCAGCCTGTGTCACCTCAGGACCCATACTTGTCCTCTGTCATTAGGTTGCACGGCAGTGTGGGGTGCGGTGCTGTGACGGCGCTCCATCCATGTGTGCGTTGCTTGTACAGCTCCCATGCGCACCTGTAGAGGTTCCGGGAGCCAGCATGTGACGTCACTCCGGTCCAGGCACCTCCACAGGACACGCGAGGGCGCTGTAAGCATTACACGCATGGATGAAGCTCCCTCGCGGCCATTCCCCCAGCCCACCTCAATCTGACACTCGCAGCCGGGCAGCATATCATCAATGGCGGCTCGGTGTGAGAATGGTCAGTCCTGCTCTAGGGGGAGGAGCCTCTCGCCTGGAAATGTGGAAGCCATGCGGCGACCCACTGAACACGGGGCCGCGACCAACTTTTGGGTCCCGACCCGCCACTTGAGAACCAAGGCTCTGGATGGTCTGTAGGACCTTTGCTCCTCCATGTTCATGCTCTGGGATCCCCGGGGTCTCATCTGTTGGGAGAAGACTTTAGTTGTCACTTACGCTCTGCAATCGGTCGGTAAGTTCTCGTCTTCTGTTCCGACATTTGGCGGCGGCCAGCTTGTTCCTCTCTCTGCGTACTCTCCTCTTCTCTTCCTCCTCGGGGGTCAGCTGTATAGGGTGAGAAAGGTCAGAGTTCACATTTCTACTATGGCACATACAAGTCCAATCATCCAGGACAGGAACACTCACCGCCTCCTCCCTGGTTCTTTTACGGGTACGGGTGGGCCGGGAACCCTCTGGTCCTGGTGTGGCAGCTGACTGACCAAAAGATGATCTGGACGGAGAGGCGTAGCTGGGGCCCGGCAAGTCATAAGGGTCCAGTGACGGGCCTGGCGTAGGTTGGGACTGAGCCATAGAGGAGATGAGGGCTGGTGTGACCAGCCACTGCAAGTCTTGACTACTGGTGATGGCAGTAACCGTGGGCACAAAAGAGGACGGAGCATCACACAGAGCCACACACTCCTGCAGTGAAGAAGAAAGGCGACATGTCACAAGGGGCGATGACATGGGTCACATGACACGGTACATTGTGATGGGGGGAGGAGATGATGATGATGGGAGATGATGATGATGGGAGATGATGATGGGAGATGATGATGGGAGATGATGATGATGGGAGATGATGGGAGAGGTTGGGGGTGGATG